CGGTGGTTCGACTCCTCGCGCACGGTTTCATAAACGAAAGACACGGGTTCGCGAAAGCCCATCTTTTAAAGGCATAAACCTCGTCTGCATTTGATGATCCCTCCACATACGCATGCGAATGGACGGGCGAGTGGAGTCGCTATACATTAAGATGCCTCTATGGCGTTAACTCATTTCGCGATGCCAAATTGAAAGAAATTGCCCAAATACCCCCAGACCGTGTCTCCTGCTTTCTCTGGTCATCTATCTTCATGCCTTACCGTCGCTGGGCATCCATTTCAGGCATGATGCATTGCAGCTCTTCCATTACCAGACCCAAGAATTAGCGAAAAGTGTCTCACTCGCATCTACTCGTCATCAGTCCATCGAAAACTAAGTCATTCTGTAAGTAATGGAATCGCAATGGATCGGTAATGCATCCAGCGCCTAGGAATTCCTCACGTACCCATTATCTGCGTGAGAATCCTGTAACTGCATTCTTTCGCTCAACTTCCAAGAGATATTGTAGTTTTGCCGTTTAGTTTCAGAGAATTGCATTTTTTTGGCGTATGGCCGCCCGTTTTTTTCAACTCTTGACTTGAGATCGAAGCTCAGATTTCTTCTCGGTTGAACTGAGAAGTGTTCGTCATTCTCATCACTCGTGATTCTCTCAGTACCTATAATTCTTTCATCACCACCCTTTGTTCTTTCATCAAAAGCGACTTCCGTCTTGCGTACAACGAGATTTAATTTTACTTCCGAGGGACTACCGCCCAGTCTCGGCCAATGAACCATACAGATGGCATGAGCAGGGCGGCCTGGGGAAGAGTTCCCAAGGAACCATGATTTTTTTTTTAATCTAGAAACGCATTTTCTCTAGCAATCGCCATTCATTGATCAAAGTCGGTAACAGTCTACACACCTCGTATACGTACACGGGTTTTCGACTAGTAAACTATAATATACTTAAACATCCTAGGTCGGTTTACGAGAATTTTCTGAAAATTTTCCTTTTTGACCTTTCATCCTGGAGCCGCTTCTACGTTTTCTGGGAGGGAACCAGCTATACATCTTTTCAATAGCGTCGCCACCCTCGCAGTGCGATTCTACAGTTCCTTGCAGTTGAGAGTTGACGAACCCCCCCACTACACCAACAATTAGGCAGGTCTAATTATTGCCTAGCAGTTCGTTTTAGTTATCAATGTAAGCTTATAGACCACAGCTTCAATGAGGGCCGGTGTGAGTGAAAATGTCAGGGCCGATTTTTAGTTCCAGTCCGTCCCTGTTTTTTAGGCAGGTCCGACCCGGTCTAAATGTCGTCTAAATGTTGGGATGATAGGAAAGAACTCTGTTCGATACCATATGGGAGTCCAAGATCATTTCATACAAATTTCATCCTGTTCTGATGGGTAATTCCGGCTATGTCCCCCCCCCCCTTCCCAATACCCTGTGTACGCGTGCGTTAATTTCGCACTGAGATTAGGAACGACAGACTCCCTAGGTAGCTTTTGCAATTCTTTCAGATCACGATTAGATTAAATTTGGCTCGAAATTTTATTTAAATCTGAACTTAATCTAATCTAAATGTGGTCATTCAGCAATCAGGGGAGGAACTCTGGCTACGTTTTAAAGGTCATTCAGTTCATGTTTAGATTTAGATTTAAACAGCGCCGTACCGAGGATATTTGGCGCCCTGTGCGAAATGTCACCCCCCCCCCCCCCCGGGCGAGATATCAACCTGCCCCCCCCCCCCCTCAGTACCTCTCCAGCTTCCACAGTATCAACAATACGTTACGTATTAATTTCTATGTTTAATTTAGTTAAATTCAGGATAATTTGCAATTTTTTTAATGTTTTATTTTTATTTTGTAACAATCCGGCAGCCAAATGGTGCCACCTTCACTTCGGCGCCCTGTGCGGCAGCACCGTTCGCACACTCCTTGTTATGGCACTGGATTTAGATTAAGTTTAGCAGAGGCGAGGAACAGGCCCCTGGAAAATACATCAGGAAAGCGTGGAGTTTTGATGCCCTCATTGCAATATAAGATTAAGGAAAATATGGAAATGTTGAAGGTATGTATAGATGTGTAAAGATGGTTGAGCAAGTCTCGCGAAAAATCAGCCGATGCAGTATTACTCTGTAACACAGTCCCTTGCCGCTCCGATGGAGTAATTCAATGCCCTTCCTACCAGCTTATCAGTTTTCACTGTATACGCTACTGTACTTAGCATGTATGCTACACCGAGAGCATGCAACAGAAATCGTACTTGACATCACTGCATGACCAGGCATGGCCGCTCGGATGCAGGCATCGGTAGAGATTCAATTCTTGCGACTATCAGAAGTTGGGGAATGCGTCTTGATTTTTTTGGGATGATAGCTTCGTCATTCTACGAGTTTGGGCACCCGGTTTGTTGAGGAATGCTTTAGATAATCGTACCAGTTGATTGGTGCTTGAGTCGTGACGCACCGTGGATCTTGGTCCAAGTTCTTTCAAATAGTTGTAGTTCCTCTTGCGTATGAACCCGTGTAGGCAACTTTCAGATTTCTCAGATCATGAAACTGTGGACATATAATGACCCTGGATGGAGTCTCGTGGAACATGAAGATGGTGGTGATTAGCTTAATACGTTATCATTGGGACGAGATATAATTTAGTATGTTCAGTACACTTAGTCCATAGGTTGATGGTCATTGGAGTGAGGAGAACAAATTGAACACAGAACCTAGAGGGTGGAGTATGAACAGGAATAAACCTACAAATTGAAAGTATAATTAAAAGAATGATAGAATAAGAAGTAAGGCATGCACATGCAGCAGAAGCAAAAAGTGAACAAATAATGTTAGAGTCATAGCAAATGAATTTGTGCTGCATCTAACATGACTACTCTTTCTGTTACATATGGTGGTAAGTGTAGGGATGCAAAGCATCAATGCAGGGGCATTAGGCCTATGGCAGCTATCAGTGGTGTAGGCGGGAAATCTGCAAGGGGGGGGGGTTGTGGCCAGGTAGACACCCCAACCCTATGCCTAGCTCCACTACCCAGAATTTATCTTTTCAAAGAAATCATGGTCTTGTATCTTGGGTCTGTGGATGGACATCAGACTTTCCTCTATGAGGCATAGCTAACATTGGAATTCCCTAGAAAGGTTGAAAAATGCCTTTCAATGTCACTGACTGGGAAACTGAAGGGGGGGGGGGGGTTCTAACCCCCTAAACTTTCCCCTTCCCCATGGCACTGGCAGCTATGTTAAAGATGTTATAAATCCATTCAGAAATCACAATAGTATTGAGTAAGCTGGTGCAATTCTAACTCAAAGGCCCAGATGGAAATCACTTCTGCCTGGAGATTCCTTGGTTGACAATGCAAATGTGAGCTGAGTCCTTGTCCACCTAGTTGACTCTCTCCCCTGGAAGTAGTTTTGGCTCTGAATTAGGTAGCAAATGCTAGATTCATAGAGACATGTTTAAGAGGCTATATGATTGTCAATGAGTACTTTGACTAGTTTCATTATTTTGTTTGTGTAGTTTGGCTAGTTTCAGTTTTTTCTGGATGTGCCATAGAAACAGCTCAACTCAATGTAAAAGGTTGTGTGAATTTATTTGTAAATCATAGGAAACTGAAACTGGAACCACTAGAAATTGTTTTCCAGAGGATAGCCTATCTGCTTCAGTTTATTTCCTTTACCAATGAATGGGAATTCAGTAGGCACTGTTTGCTCAATTCCATTTCATCTCCAGTTTAGTTTTTATTCACTTTTTAATTTCAGTTTTAGCTTTCTGTGAGTGAAATGAAGACAATTCAGTCATGGTTCTCTACTCCAGTTTTACTTTAGTGAATATCAACTAAACCAAAAGTTATTTAACCTGGCTAGTATAATTATGTACTTTATTCTCCTGCTTCATTTAACTGGATAGTGACTGAAACTAAAGACAAACTGACTCTGACTCTGAACCTGAACTGTTTGAATAAAGTCAGTTGATCAGTTGCTAGCTCAAAATCCTAGGGTGATCTTTCATGATGGCAATTCAAGGGTACTGAACTTTGTATAAGTAGATCTAAGCTTATTTGCTGCTTATTGTGATGAAGGCACTGTTGAGAGGCACAACTGAATGTCCTGGGTTCGGTGGTGTAATGGTAGCACACCTGACTGGCAATCAGGAGGCCCAGGTTCGATTCCCAGCCATCCTCTGGCTTTCTTTCGTCCTCTCTCGTCCATCCAACCTTCCTACCTTCAGTTCTACCTGTCACATTATGACTAGACCTAACAATGACTTCTGGTTATAAGTTCATGCCTTGCCTTGCACTATGTAGTCTCAAAGGCCGTTGAAGGCTACCTCATTTTCTGGTATATGATTCCTGTACTAATTCAAGGTTTCACCATTTGACATAGTATATCCAAAGTCATTATATATATTTGCCAGTAATTGGGGTTGTGTGTAATTAAGCATTCAATGTTCTTCAGTTCAGTTGTGGTCTGCTACCTTGACCACCTTGATCACCTGCCTTGACTTACCACAAATTTTTCTGGTGAGTTTGAATCAAAATGGAAGTGTATCTCATTCCAAATTCCTATTTTTCTTTCTTGTTTGTCACAGCCTGAACTTAGTGAGGATATAACATAGTTGCCATATGTGGGGTGTTAGTGCTAGAGTGTATGCTATGCACACAACAAAGGAATACCACCTCAGTGATGACTCAAAACTGATGGACTATAATTGTCAGAATGTGAAATATGTTTGCCAACCCTTCAAGCACTGAGTTTTGACCCAACCTCCTAAGTGATGAACGTACAGTGTATGTGAACACTGCTTGAAGGGTTAAGCAATGCCTTCATTGAGCTGCTGTTGTGAAAAAGAACTCTAGTTCCTTCATGTCTTTTCTAGAGACATGAAATCCATGCTCTCAGGTGGAGGGCTGTAAATAACTCTAATGTGCAACTTCATCCTAGTATTTTGCTTCATAGTTCAAAAACTTTCTACTCATCATTCACACAAATGTCATGCTTTCATCATTTGATTTGTTCCTCTCTGTTTTCCAGCTTATATTTTAGGTCCTGCAGAACATTTTCCTCATAATAAAAGTATTCCATGGGGATCTATTCAGAGAGTATGACATCCATGATTGAGTGAGTCAGCGTTGGGGCTTTTGCAGTGTCAGTGTGTTACCAAGTGCAGGTCATCGTTGTGTGCCAGCACTTTCTTCCTCTTCATCCAACCCCCAGCCGACATACTGCTTGCATCTCAAGCTGCACAAAAAAATTTTGAATTGCTTTGGATGGTGTGTCTTTCAAGTTCAACAAATATTCCAGCCATGAAGATCTTGTGGGCTTTGAGTGCATTTGTGTTAAGTCAGGCTGCTGTAGAATCTAATGCTCAGACTGACTGGATGACCTTTTTTGATACATGGAAGTCTCTCAATTGCTCATATCCCCCCCAAAAATATCTGGAAGTTGCATTAAAAGACATGTGCTCTAACTCAAGTATGAGCCAGGCATCTGTGGAAGGGATTGTGTGCTCTTTAACTAATTCATCTGTGCTTGAAATCTGCAATGCAAGCAAAGGCAATCCAAAAATTGCATCATTGTTTCCTCTCAAAACAAACATGGTAAGTTTCTTGGGCAGTTTTTCTTTTGCAGCTTATGCCAAAGCCAGAAGTGATTTATTTTGAGTTTAATTTTAAATGAACTACCATGCAAGTAATATGACTTGGTGGACAAAGTCAGCCCGCACTGAAGGTATTCTGAGTTCTGTAGCCACTTTCTCTCACATTTCCTTCAGAAATCATGAATGCTATGATTTAAAATAGCATTTTGGATGTTTAGCTAGAACATACGACTTGGCCTGTGCCATTCCTTAGGTCAGAGATTGAACATTGGCTAACTTATACTTTTTCCATGAAACTGGTGAAAGCAATCTTGGGGCCTGCCAATTTCCTGATATGTTTTAAAAATTAAAATGTAATATTTGGTATACCCAACACAAAGTGAATCCCACCCCAAACTTCAAATTCCTGGTGTTTTATGGCAGGTTGGGAACTTCTACAAAATGTGATCTGCATTTTTAATGGAGAATGGAACTCAAAACATGGCCAAACATGGCACATGGCAAAAGCACTATCAAGAGTGTAATCTCTTTCCACTAAATGGCAGTGGAAGAAGGAGCACAGTTATTTTTAAGGAAACACTTGAATTATGCCTACTTCCATTAAATGTGCAGAAGCCTAACATTGTTAGGTTTAGGCCTCTAGATGCAGCTTTCATGTGTGCAGTATGATGGGCATACCCAGAATGTAGGTTGCACTTGGCCAGTAATATGTCTTCCATATGGCCTATCTGAACCTAGGTCTTGGCATTCTTGTCTTTTCCCACTTAGAGTCATGTGGAATGATAAATCAGTACCATTAAATATATTCAGACATATGCCTCAAAACAGAAATTATGTTCCTTTCTTAAAATATAAAATCTTATGTCCAAGCAGGATCTGATATTTTATGGCTAATTTTCTTGTGGCTTGGAGCACAATTTGTTTAGATTTTTGGTGCTTTTATAGAAATTCATGATTTCAATCAACATTATAATAGTTTTCACTTCATGCTTAATGTGGAACTCATGCACCTAATTCAAGACAATGTCATTTTGATGACACTAGCTCTCCAAACATGACCTATCTGATGCACAAGCACAATGACTATCAGTCATTTTCCTTGACAAATATCAGAAATCTGCATGCTGGCCAAATGTTCACATCAGTACAGCCTTAAATATAACCCTTATGAGGATAGCTTGGGAGATTTTATGTACATATATGGTGTTCTAAAAGTTTACAGAAACATCTCATAAAAACTGAACTATTTTTTCCATTGCTACCAAAATAGGTACACAGAAATATCACACCTTCCTTAGCCATCAAAATAATTGCTGTTTGAATCTATGCACTTATGCCATCTTGAGGGCAAAAATCGTACACCCATTCTGTAGAAGCCTATATCTTGCTGTAGCTGGCATTCAAAACAACACATGTTGTCACCAATTTTCAGTCTAGTCTATTGTTGCCAGCACCCATCATATCACCCAGACACAGCCCACTCTGACTATCATCAGTTTGGCTTGTTAAAGGACCAACTTTGTGAAAATCTTGATCAGTGAAGTTCTTTTAGAAGATCTGCAAAATTCTCTAAGACCATGGCTGCAACAAGAAACAAGCTTCTATAGAATGGGTATATGATTGATGCCCTTAGTATGGCAAAAGTGCATAGATTTGAACAGTGATTATTTTGAGGGCTAAGGAAGTCATGATGTTTCTGTGTACAGATTTTGGTAGCAATGAAAACTTTGGTTTAGTTTTTATTAGATGTTTCCAGAAACTATGCAGACACCCCTTGTACTTGGCATTAATTGTTCCCTTCTAATCTCGACTTGTTTGGACATGGAACAATAGTAATTGCACCTGAATTATGATAAGTCTCTAATGACATATCATATCATGTCATGTCATGGTGATGGATATTCTATTTATTAAGATGTATGGATTTTAAAAGGTGTTGTGAATCACTCATCTGCTTTTAGATTAAAGTTTAGAAAGGGATTTTACAAATACTTCACCTTCTTTTAAATGATTGTCAGTTCCTGCTCCATTTCAATTGGTGCAATATTAATATTATTTAATGATTTTTGTCGCTGCAAGATGAGCATATTATTAGCTTCTGTGTATTTATTTTCATGAATCTTAAGAGTCCTTCATTCCTTCCAGTGAAAGGATTTTTACTATGCATAGATCCCAGCGAATGGCCTGATTTTTATTTCAGGATGTAGACAGAGATCCATGTGCAGACATTTCTGGACTGGGGAATGTCACTCAAGAACAATGTGACAAGTTATATAGCTCTCATAAAGATGTGGTTGTCTTGTTGAGCTATTCTGTGAACATCCTTTCCCAGTTGAAAGATGGCCCACCTTTCCCAGCATCATCATCCATGAATTCTGATGAGGCAGCAATGCTCCAAGGTCAGGGTAAAGGGATCTCCAAGGACATAGGAAGTGAATCACATGAAGCCCAGGCTGAAGCAAACAAAGCTGATGGCAACCAATTCATGGAGAACTCTACATTGCCTAGACCTTCTGTAAATAACACTTACTCAAATGAAGGTGACTCCCATTTGAAAAGGGCTAAAGAAAATGCAACAAAACTTAGTGATGCTCCAAAAATAAGTTCAAGACCATTGGGATCTCTGCCTTCAAACAGTCAAGAACAACTTCAAGCACAGGTACAGGATGCTGTGAAGGTCTCTTCCACCACTGAAGATGTGAAAAAATCTCATTTGCAGCTTAGCCCAAGTGACACTGGAAAAGGAACTACAAAGAACAACCCACAACTTCCCCAAACAACAGATATCACAACTGATGAGGAGACTGATGATAGTAAGCAGAAAAATGATTATGTGTTGCATGATGAAGAAGACGAATCAATGGCCTCTGGGGAGCAAAGTTCTGTTGCAAAGGAATCCATCAACTTGGACAACACAGGTATCTCTTCCTCGAACTTTTCCTTTATCTTTTGTCTTCATCCAAATTTGGAAACCATAGGGGGTGGATGATGCTACAGTCTGATTACCCAATTAAATGGGGAGGCATTTAAAATGGTGCAATTAGTTGACTTGTTAATCCATCAACTTTTAATTGGCTGTTATTGACTGCAATTCATTTATTTTTAAGTCTTTCAAATCATGACAATTCATAGCTTGCAATAGCTTACATTTACTTTTCAGCACTTCAAGCCTCAGTGCCTCTTTAATTTTCAAATTATATTCATGCGGCTACCCAAAATCTGTGTGGTGACATGAACTCTGAATGTGATTGCCAAAAGCATTAGTGCCCTCATCTGAAAGTGAAAAATTTAAGTTTTTAACTCCATATCCTGAATTTCTCACTTAAAATGGTGGTGATAGAACTGTTTATCAGTCCTCTTTGTCTTTATGTATCAGTGGTTACTAATTCCATATACACCCTGTTTACCAATATCTATTAGGTTGAGGCATAAGTTTTGACCCTCTATGACCTTTGCATTTTCTGATGTAAAATTCTGGCAGCTATTGCATTTTGTACTTGGTTGCCAGTTGTCAGCGGAGTATTTTGATACCTCATTTGCCACAAACCGTTTATTGTATCGCTCCATTTTTCAGCACGATGATTGACAAAAATGTGTACTTACTCTTACTTTACACATACCACCGCAAGCTGACAACGACAGCTGCATACTGAGAACTGCTAGAAACATACAGTGAAACTGCTCAAAGCCTTTCGACATGCAAGCACTGGTTCAAGAAGTTCGCCTCTGGGAGCAACGACATTGATGACAAACCCTGCTCTGAACGACCCACTGAGCTGAAGAACGAAGATCTGCCTCAGCTGCTTGATGAAGACCCAGGCCAATCTTCACGTCAACTTGGACAGCAGCTCAGATGCAACCAAAAAACTGTCATCAGACATCTCCACGGTCTCAGCAAGGTGTGCAAACAAAGCATTTGGGTACCCCATGAACTCAGTGAAGAAAACAAGGCTCAATGGCTGACGATTTGTGCTTCACTCCTGGCGCACCAAAACAGCAAGTCGTTTTTGGGCTGGATCATTACGGGGGATGAGAAGTGGGTCAGCTACAACAACGTCACTTGCAAATGGCAGTGGTTGGATGTGGACCAGGCTGTCACTTTGACACCAAAAGCTTAGCTGCACCCGAAGTGCCACCTCGTGTATTTGGTGGAACCGGCACAGTGTGATCCATTTTGAGCTGCTCCAAAAGAACCAGACAATCATGGCAGACCTCTACTCCAACCAGCTTCAATGCCTTTACAAAGAATTGCGCAGAATACGTCCAACACAGATCAACCGAAAGGGCATCATTCTCCAGCACGACAATGCTCGACCACGTGTTGCGAAGGCGACCAAGGAAAAGATCAAGGAGCTCGGATGGGAAACGCTGCCTCATTCTCCGTACTTTCCGGACATAGCGCCATCGGATTACCACTTGTTCCAGTCTCTGCAACACCACCTCGCTGACAGCTGCCACAAAAACTACAACTTTCATCAAGACCTGGCCACTTTCTTCAAGTCAATTGCAAGTCTAAGCCAGCTGAATTCTATGAACGAGGCATCGACCAACTGCCCGAGCGCTGGGCAAAGGTCATTGAACACAATTGTCAATATTTCTTTGATTGAGATTGTTATTTGTTGAAAATAAATAAAAGGTTCCTTTGCCTAAGAGGGTCAGAATTTGTGCCTCAACCTAATATATTGAAGCAGAATTATGATTGTGAGTAGTGAATTTTGACATTATTACGAAGTTGGAAACATTGGAGGAAGAAGCCACTCTAGTGTAGGTTCCACACATGTCTGAACAATTGATGAATCTTAAACTTATTCATCAATAACCCATCCTTGTCCAATAGTGCGAATAGTTTTTGATGATCAATAGTTTCATGTGGAAGGTCAAAGGGTTGAATTAAAGTTTTGATCCGGTTCCATGTCTTGGTATATAATTTTTCAATTGCATTAATATATAATGTACAGCCTAAGTCCCAGATAAAAACCCCAACCTATGAACAATGACACTGACCACTCTGTGGTCAGACCAATTGTTCTCTCACTCAGACCACTCTGTGGTCAGAGTGGCATTTTGCTGCATACATTTCTTGTGAATGAGATTTCCTTCACTTTCCTCAGAAATTGCTTTTGAGGAATTAGCTTTTTCCAAGCTCGATGCACTTATAAAATTGCTGACAAAAAAAGATAGGAAAGGGGAACAAGAAAGGGAGGGTGACAACTGAGTGCAGTGATATGACTAATATCCTGCACTGATGTTCCTGACTTCTGCAAAGATGTTTGAATGCCTCCCAGACCTCAATGCTATATATTCTGTCTTTTGAGCTCCAAAACATGTGCCTCTATGTAATTTTTTCTTCAGATGATCGCTGGGAGAAGAAACACATTATTGATACTCCTGAGGGAGATTCTCACTTCTTCTCATATTTCATCACTGTGGTTCTCATTTGTGTCATTGGATATGTCCTCCTGCACAACAAGAACAAGGTGATTCCTAAATCCTTTTATATCTAATGACCTTACTGATAGGGATGGCATACTATTGATTAGGTGTAAGATGACAGTGATAGCTTTCCATTCATGATTTTACCATGAAAAGACACTGTAATGTGCATGACATTTTGAACCAAATGGAGGAAGAAGTTTTTCATTTTGACATTTATTATGGCCTCTGAAAGAGCATTCTCTTCCCTCTAGTTCTGACAGGAAGCTTACTAATTTCAAGTTTTCTCAAGTGTATTGTCAAAGGGTGGATTGCATGAAACTGACTTTAGCATAATGAAGCTTTAAAACTTCTATTAAGACTGCTAAAGGAGGTTTACAACTTTATTATGCTAAAGTCATTGTTATGCAATCCACCCAATGTCACTTGATTCTGAGTGGATTGACATATTTGAGCATCTGGTCATTTATTTTCATCTGTGGTATGAGTTTGCTGTGACTTGAAGGTGAATGCCTCTCCATGCAGATCATTGCCCTGGTAGTGGAGGGGCGAGGGGGGCGGCATGGGCGACGGAGGCCAAGCTCCAACAGTTATCAGAAGTTGGACACCAACTTGGAAGATGCCTTACGGTCATCCCCAAGCCGAGAAACAACCAGCCATGTCATCTATTAGCACATTTGCCTTTTCCTTCATCCTTCCCCTTTTGGGCATGGCATCCTTGATGCTGCCTTGATTCATTGTGATCATTTTTGGTGATAGTTTTTCTCCCAGTCATTCTTTTCTTTTTATCTTTCTTTTCCTCCCTCCTTTCTCTTCCCATCATTAGTACCTGTTTGCTTTCATCAGCTTTCTTTTATGAATATTTCCCAAGTTAGATCTTGAAGGCTAAGTCATGAACTCCATTTCAGACATTGCCAGAACTTCAGTGCCTTGTTCAAGAATGACTGAGCAGAAGATTCTTATTGAGTGTTCTCCTGGAATGCTAAACTTTTGCAACATCATGGAGATTTGTTCTGTTTGGCTTTTTAGGAGATTTATGGAGTCATAGTACAGTTACTTGGAACCACACTCTTGACATCTCTCTTTCTCTCTTGCTTAGAAAAACTGTTATAATTAGAAAAATAAATATTATGGTAAAAATCAGATGCAAACCTGGATGAAAAATCATCTGGTTGTGTATTTTGGTATGTGGTATCCCTGGCTTTGGAGTTGATGATTTTGGAAAGGTAGAGAATGGAAGCTTGAATTCTCACTAGAGGATAACTCCAGTGGACATATCCTACCAGTGTTTGATACAATGAGTTTTTGTGGGAGTGAAGTCAACCCAGAAGATAAAATTCTTTTGACACATACAGGATCATGTTTCTCCATTTGAAATCTCTCATCAATATTACTGAATATATATGGGGGGCATATGACATGGGGCCTTTGATGAATTCTCATGTAATTTCATTTCTCTTTTTGTTATGATGGAGATCATGATGATATAATGATCATGACCGAATGCACATGATATTATACAGTGATGGCTAAAATTAATGCTTCATTTCGATTTTTGTATTTCATTGACATTTTTACAGCTGACACTACTATATGCAATTTACTTACTTATGCATTTCATCTGCTACACAGGTGAAGTCAATGAAAGATGAAAATCCAGTGTAATGCAATAACTTTTGCTACCACTGTAATTCTGTCTGCTTTGGAGGGGTGTCATCTTTCCCAAAGGATATTGAAAATTTTGCATGATTTTGAAGAGTTTTACTTCTAACAGGAAGTCTTGTAGTTTTGCATTCATTCCAAGCACAAGTTTTCAATTAAAAAAATAAGCATGATTACCACCAGATCTTGCTTTTTTTAATGCAGAATGAATTGTGTTCTTTTATCCACCATGAAATCAATATGAAAACAATTCTGCTTGCTTGTGTTATTAGGGTTCTGCATTATTTATACCTTGTGCACACGAGTTGTTCTTTCTGATGTCTCATACATGAAATTTGCATTATACTATGGAATCTTGCTTTAGGGAATACTCTGGGGATTTAGGAATGGTTCTGTTATATCTAATGCTCTTGACCATTATATCTGTCTCAGCAAAGAAAAGGGAAAATAATTTTTGCATAAATTCTGCAGCATTGCAAAATAGACAGGTACAATTGGGAAAAGACCATAACAAGGGTTTTCTTTTTCCAAAATAAACAATAGGATTAGAGGTCTAAAAGCAGAGGGAAGGTGTGATTGCACTCATTGAAGTGGGAACCAAAGGATAGGAGGAAGTGGTTCTGAATGGACATGTGAGAAAAGCACAGCAATTTTACTCTGACTACAGTCTTATCTTTTGTGTGAACCTTCAAAAGTGGTTTGTTATAGGTGAAGATTCTTTTGAATAATAGTTGTTATGTTGCCTGTGTTCTGCTAGAAGGGCATAAGTGCCTCAGAGGTAACTTTTCAGTAGACAGCAAAAACTTCTGAAAATATGTGTAATAGTCCTTTGGCTGTTGTAAAGGACATAGTTATGCCCATTGTGAATAGCTGTAGTGTTGGAGTGATACCTCAGATGCTTATGCCTTTACAATATGAAAGTAGTTTACAGGAGGGAAAAGCTTATATTCAAGGTATTTGACCATCTAACATAACACAGGTGATATGTAGAAGTTCAAGCCATAGGAGTCTATTGCAAAGTAATGCAGAATTCCAATTTCAGTAGATGAATCTATATACTCAGTTTTGAGTTTCTTACAGGTGGATTCCTCTTATGAGTTGCCTTAAAGTTAGATCTTGGAAAGGGGAACATGACATCCTATTTTTTCATCCTTTCTCCAAGTGATTCTGCCTCCTCCAATGCATTGGATCCCACTTGGAAACTTTGATGCCAATCTGATTGATCGAATGCTTTAATGAATCCTCGGTAGATGTTGCTATATGTTGATGTTGGAAGGCCTTCATTTCATCCTGATCAGTCAATAAATGAAAGAACAATATTTGGAATCTGTTCAAGTCCAGTGTCTTTGACATTGGAAACATGGAAAAATGTTTAAAAAACTGGAAAATAAACTGAATTATCTCTGTGTATGTTATTCATTCATCTATTTTATGCCATTCTGAGAAACCTCTCGCTAACTTTTGAAACTCTGAACCATCATCCATTCTTCAGGTGTCCAGATAAAGCAAGGTTTGTGCCATTTTCAACAATTCAAGTCATGATCCATTTGACCCTTCCTCCATTTTGGATGGAATGGGCTGCTCATCATGTTTATTATTAATACAGTTACAAGACTTGATAACCTATCAGAGAATTTCACAGGCATGAAAGTTTGATGTCCTGAGAAGATTGTGAAAATGTATTAAATTTTATTCCAACTTTTGCCATGTGGATGGATATTCCAGAACTTGGTCACATTCTAGTGAGTATGTCAACTTCCATTGAAGTTTACAATCCATGATGCCTGGCGGTGTGTCATGAAGCTGAAAATATTTCAGGCCACAAAGGAAAGAAATTATGAAAACCTTTGTTAGTTAGCACTGGCATTAATATCAGGATTGGGTCATTCTGTGTGAAATCACTGCAGTTGTATACCTGACCCCCCAGTATTGATCATTTGTAGTCTTGTGGGGTGTGAAATAACAATTTCAAACTACTCATTTTCAAATGAGAATTAATATGAGTGCACCAAAGAACAAACGTTAAAATAATGCATGAAATTTAAAAATGACAATATTTGATTTTCTGGTCAAAAAACTGAAGAAACTCATTTATACAAAAAGTTCTTCTGGAAAGTAACAATTTTTACCTTCCTGTGTGCTCTGTATTGATATGGGGAAACTTTTTGAATGAAATTCAGCAAAATAATTTAATTTATTCATTACTAAAGGACTAGAATTTTGAGTAATATATTGTTATATTGATATGTCCACCAAGAGACACTCACTCCATTGAGGGATATGTCAAATGTAAATAGGTTAGTAGACATACATTCTTGAGAAAAGGTTTAATTACATTGGTATCTTTCATGAGATGCTTGAGAGAGAACATGTAAGAGATTAATTGAGGAGTTCTCGAAAAAGGTCATATGTGCAAAGGTAAAATTTTGAGATTAGTGGAAAAAACTTCTCCAAACTAATCTGAGGCTGGTCAAAACTTAGTTTTCAGTCAAATGATATCTTAGACCTTATACGAAGTAAACTTGGCAGTTTGATTAATTTCTTTACCCCACATTGCTGGAATGCAAGCAGAAAGTGCTTATGCACATACACCCTTTTTCCATATCCACATTGCTGCAACTTATTCCACCCAGTCATTTACTGCTTCTTTACAGTAAACATAATAGTTTGCCAAAAATACCTCCAGATTTCTTCTAAAATCTTCCACTAAAACCAATGAAAATGTGAATATTTCAGACAATATTCATTCGCCAATTACAGTGATCCAGTATTCATTTATCCATCATCTGGATCTTCAATTTTTTTCATAGATATTACCAACTTCTTACATCCTTCTTGGGTGACTGGGCCTCTTTCCTTTTCCTCCTGTCTGGTTTCTTTCTCATTTTCACTTTCAGTTTGAAAGGAGGAAAATTTCCCACCAAGTCATTCAGCAATGCAGGTTCTGAGGAAATGTTCATGGAGGCACCCAAATTGAAATTGCTAGGCAATTGGCTTATTAAATATTGAGAGCATAAGAAAATTGGATGCTGACCACCCTATCCTATGACAAGTCACTTTCAGTAGCATATGGATGTGGATATGGAAAAAGGGCACTTATGGGCACTTACACCCTTTTTCCAGAGAACTCCTCAATTTAGAATTGGTGAATTAAGAAGAGAAACCATGCTCTCTCCCCAAAAACCTGAAACTTAACTCCATAGCTTGCACCTCACAGGAGCATCACCCACATGAATAGTCCCACTAAGGACTTCATATCTAAAGTGGAAACTAAAGTTGATTGTCCTCCTTTACCCTTGAATGCAAGATATTGTACCTCTCATATACTTCTCACTGTAAGAAAAAGGCAACCAATTTGATGTTTCTTTCTATGGGAAATATTTTGAACATCCTCCAGAAATTTTCCAATCAACAATTTTCCTTCATACATAACTTTTATTTTAATGTGAATGCAAAGATCATTTTGCTCAAGTTGAAAAGGATTCCTGAAAAATGACTCCCTGAAAAAGTGTTTCTGAGGGAGTTACCCTAAAAGCAGGATTCCCCATGAAATCAGCATCCCTAAAACTACTTGCTATCAGATTTCAACTTCCTTATTACTCCAGAACTTAGAACTAGCCTCAGTCAATCAGTCTCTCCATCAGCAGTCACACTATGCAGAATGGAAAAAAAAGTCAGAATCCATAGGGAAATGACATGGGTATAATTTCTAGCCTAGACTATCTGGAACTTACAAACCAATCTAAGTCAGTACTGGAATTCCAAGGTTTTCTTAACCTTAAAATTGGGTCCAAGTGACCTGAAGTAATCCAGAGGGTCAATTTTAAGAAGCTTGGGTCACTTTAGTATTTTTATTTTTAGGTTGCATTTGCAGGTCAATTTGGGAAGCAGTTTACTACTATACACATTTAGTCATCCTATGATAATTAAACTAAAAATTCATCAATGTATATATTTTGGCCAGTCTCGGTCTCTTAGAGTTGATTTGGATCACTTTTGGTCCCTGTATGCTGATTTGGTTCAGGTTTGGTCACTTGGCCACTTTGGGTCAAGTTGGCTCATTAAGAGTTGATCTTATTAAGTGTGAGTCACTTTAGGATAATCACACATATGCTTAGCCATTGGGACACTTTGGGTCAACTTTGGTTACTCTGGAATGATTAAACAAAAGATGGGTCATTTGGTCATCATGGATCACCATAGGTTGCTGCATCAGATTGTGTCACTATATGCCACTTAACAGTAACTAAAGACTCTCTGAATCAATTTAGTAATCTTGGGTCACCTTAGGATAATTAGGCTTGGGTTGGGTCAATGGGTCAATTTGGGTGATTCCATGCTTCTCTGGATAACTTTGACATGATTTTGAAATTTAGGGAGCTTGGGCATTCAAGTGTCAATGCAGATTGGCTTGTGAGTTCCTGACAACATAGGCTGGAGAAAATACCCTAGGTATTTTACTGTTGTTCCTGACTTTTGCAACTCCCTGTATATTGTGGATCAAAATTTTTTACTTTTTGTGTTACTGAAATGGTTGACATTACCTTTTTTATGCACATGTTCATGAATAAAGCAGTTCCTGGAGATATATATGATTGAATGCAGGAAGAGAAGTGACAAATATATGCATCTGTACATTCATCAGTATTTTTGCAATGAAATTCAGAAGTTGCTTCTGCTTTTTTCTCAAAAGTATACTTTGTGGAGATAGAAAAAAATAATCTTCACCTGACAATATATAGTTACAATTTGTTATAGATGTCAAAAGTATAAAATAAAAAATACAAAATAAATTATCACATGTTATATGTGATAATTTATTTTGTATTTAATAGTTGTAAAGCATTCAAATACATAAAGGGTGATACATAAAAAGAAGTGAATACTTATCATTTATTTTATTCATTGTTGAACTGTAAATATTTACATTACCTGCCCATGACACTTCCACTTCGAACGACGTACTAGTATGTCATCCCTTTTCTCGCAGCAGGTTCCAAGTGACGTACTGGTATGTCCTGGAGATTCACACTGTGATATAAAAGTGTAGGATTTTGATGCATCATTGGGGTTTGGAAATATTCATGGTTTTGAGTCTGTACTTCGTTACTCTCTCGCTTGATTTGAGAAAATAGACTTTGTGCACAAAACAGAGGTGGTACGAGAGTTGTGTCAGTCGGCTGTAAATGAGCAACATGGCACATAGAGGGTCTTCTGCTCTGTGTCTTGCTGCATCACAAAATCACTCCATTTTCTTATATCAACAATGAAATATCTTCTGATCCTTGGTTGGAACTTGAAGATGAATCAAGTGGTAAGTATTATAAATTAAACATCTACGCCATGTATACTATGAAATCACTTTCAAGTGAAGTTTTGCATCGAAATCTCAAAAATTTAGTGGGCACAGGAAATGAAGGGATACAACAATTCAGTGCAGTGCCTGTGGAGTGCCATTATGCATCATTCCGTGTTTTGAGGCTTACCACACGAAGAAAAGGTTCTGGGAATCATGGGCCAGAATATAACATGTGTAGGCTTAAAGACAAATATTAAGTCCCATGATATTTGCTACATGTACAACTATTTGTTTTTCGTGAAATGTGACATGAATTTCAATTTGAGTTAATTCCTCTAAATAATTAAATTCTGAAATATGTGTGTATTCCTCAACAAACCCCTTACTTTGCAAATGAAATTAATCAACAATCAAATTTCTGTCTTTGCTCATTATTTTTTTCTGAACCCTATTACACCCCAGGGTTCTGTGAACAGCACAACTTAAATGCACACCAGAGAGAAAGTGTTAAGTAACTAATTGCACTTGTCAGAAGTGATGCTCAATGTGGCCACCCATGTTTGCAAGTGGAATTGCCATTGATAATTGGCATTGATAGGTTTCTGCAACTGGTGCTGCCATTTTTGCTGCAGCCCCATTTTTAAGTGAGGGATGTCTTGAATCTTCTTGTGCACCATCATTGCAATGTTGTAATTCACCCCAGATTCAATGATTGACTGGGTTGAGATCAGGCAAGTTAGCTGGTCACAGGTCTCATGCAATCAGCTCTGGCACCTCCTGCTGGAGGAACTCTTTTGTCTCCCTGGCATGGTGTGCAGGTGCACCACCCTGCTGAAGTACCCAGTGTCCTGTGGACTTCAGTCTGGTATCTGACGAAAAGACCTCAGGACAACTGCTTGTCCCTGTAGTAAGCTACATTCACCTTAACCTTTGCATACCAAACATGATATATTGTATGTATTTCAAATGTATGTACAAACATGATGTATGTCATATGTATCAGTACAAGGTATATTCAGTATAATTTTATAGAATACTTCTAAAATATTGATGGTAGTTTTAATTACCTCAGGTGAAAACATATGTCCAAAAATTTGATCATTAAGTAGATACATCCACACTTTCCTCATGGATTCCCTGTAGAATTTTTTTCTCTCATTGCCTCATTATGGTTTGTATCTTTTGATTACATGACAGACCCCAATAAAATTTGGTGTATCCAAAGAGAAAAAGTTGGGAATGTCTTAAATCTTTTTGAAAAAAATAGAACTACCATATTGCTGAAATTAAAGGTCAAGGTTAAAATGTTTTGACCTTTGACCTTTATTTTATGTACATTCAATGAAAAACTCAAAAGAGCACTTAATGAGCTTGAAAATACACTAATAAAACTTTCTTTACATTTACTTATGAGTGCTTGAATGATGACAATCAGACTATAAATCTGCACTCTTTGGGGATATTTGAATCAGAGTACTTCAAAATACCCTTGACCTAAGAAGCTGAAATTTAGTGTGGATTAGTTTCTTAACCCTTTGGGGACAGGATATTTAAAAACTTGACTACCTACCTCTGAGCCTGAGATTTTTGGAAGGCTTGGAGCGTGTTGTGTTTCAGGGTATATATCCTCACTAAATTTTTAAAATGTTTATCACCTTAGTAGTGCAAGGGGTTTCCAAAAAGTTTCCACAAACTTCTAATAAAAACGAAACCATTTGTTTTTACCTCTTCCAAAATCGGTAGACAGAAACATACCTCCCTTAGCCCTCAAAATAATCACAATTCAAATCTATGCACTTCTGCCATCTGAAGGCAACAGTTGTATAACCCTTCTTTAGAGGAGGTGTACAATCATTGTGATGTTCCTGTGAACTAATTTTAGTGGCGATGGGAACAGTGGTTTAATTTTTATTAGATGTTTGTGGAAACTATTCAAACACCCCTCATATTTCCTAAGGATATGGTACTCCTGGAAACATGGGTGCATACATAGGACTTTGTCACAGTTGACGCACACAAAAACGAATGAACACATAAGTGTGTACCCAAAGTAGAGGGGATCAGGTAAATTATTGTGTTGATGTGACATGATATGACCCAATTCTGGAAAAGATTTATCTTAAATTACAGACCTAAGGGCTGATTTCCTTTTTAATACAGTTTCACAACATATGGAATATGTTTATCCTGAAAAGAACAATGAAAAGATGGTAAATTTTTCATAGTTACATTTTGGTCTAGTGTGTTGAAAAGCCATCATCAAGCTGCAAAAACAAACTAAAGAGCCGCACCACATCCCAAGATGCACATGCAAAGAAAGAGCAGCAAAGGGATGCACTGATACAGGGTTGTTATGTCTGGGAGGGGTTTCAACAATCAATAACTTTTTAATTATTCCAAACAGAAAAAGTAACCCATATCATGAAAATCTTTGACTCTTAAAGTTTTTTTCTTATGTCACACCAGCACTTCACACTTCCAAAATATCCCCCATCTTGGACAATGCAGCATTCGATTCTATTCTGTAGAGATAGGAAAACATTCTCAATTTCTTACTGCGATTTGATGCACCTCAGTTTTGATATGTGCTTTCAGTTCTGCCAGATTTTGAGGCTGAGGGGTAAAAAATGCTCTTGGCATGACCCCATAAAAAAATAAGGGGGTTAAATCGTATGATTAGGGCCATGCAAGTGCTCCTCCTCTCAATCTGTTTTCCTGGGAATGTTTCATTTAAAAACTCCCTGTCATTCCAAGAATAGTAGCAAGGCATTCTGTCATGCTGGAAAGTTCACAAGATCTGAGGCCACCAGCCTTCGAAGGAAGAAGTTTTCCAATTCCAGCAATTAATCCCGAAACTATTTGCTATTAGTTGTAGCTCAAACTGTATAGTACCTTCCCTATGCATATTATGTGAACTTTTCTTTGTTTCTTTCACAGGGACTCTTCAGAAAAAAGCAGTTTGATAATGTTAAAATTGACATTTTCATATTTGAAAAAAGGCAAAGGAATTATAAATAAATAAAAAATTTTTAAATACTGAGCTTTTGTTCCAAGATGTCCTTTAAAAAAGCAAAATTTTAGTCCAATGATTGAACCTAATCTCTTGTGAACCTAATCTCTTGGCACATTCAGATAGATATACAGGGAATGCCCTTATCCCACAGTAACAGTGGGGCCTCATTTTAAGGAGTAGTACTTAAGTGAATCTGCCAGTCATCCGCTACTTCTAGGAGCCTCCGACCCTAGCCATTTGTCACCAGGCAAATAAAACAAACAGCTACAACATCCTTTTGGCCTAAGGTTAACATCCTTTGGTTAACTTTTTGTATGGCAACTAACTCGTCAATTTCTTGCATTGCTCATTCTCAAAACTGTAACATCTGCAAGGAAAATGCTTACAAATTATAATGAGAAAGTATGCTCTTGAACATTCTCTTGATCATCCAGAGTTTGCAGGGAAATTGGTATGTGTGCCAGATGAACAGTAAATTGAGAAACCTGAATGTTTTGGAACACTTCCGGATAAACCAAGTGCATTGGGATATATCATATATCGTCATTGGGCATTACTGGCAAACTCGTATTTCCCAATTCTCAATCCACCCTCTTTCAGCAACAAGAAGAGCATCAATTTACTTTGTATCAAGTTTTTATTTCCAGATGTGAAAGAGCTTTCAGAAAAAAGCCAAAATGGAAGTTTAAACTGGTAGACCCTGGCAATGAACAGACTCCTGACAAGGGCCAGCAGGCTATCCCATTCACTTGGGTTTCTGCACACCTTTTCTCCTCAGTTACTCCCACCCAAGGTAGTACTTGGTCTCTCTGCGCCTCCCTCGTCATTTGTGGGGCAGAGAAGATTCTATCGGAATTTTAGCCATGGTCCTGAAAAGAAGGACTCTCGCTTCACAAATATCTACTACATGCTCCTCACCGGCATCTTCATGGCCTGTATCATCGACTGGAAGTAGTGAGTCTTTGCAAAGATGTTTGGTGAAAGTGCCAGAACATTTTTTGTCTGTTGCTTGGTCTTGGTGATTCGTGCAGGGGGTGGAATTTGCATAACTCGAGATCTTACTGTATGTTCTCTTAACAACCCTGGAACATTTTCCACACCTCTACGCATTACTTTTCCAAACTTTTCACCTTTGGCCTAATCCTTATCTGATATCCATCACTAGTGTAAAAGCCCTCGCACGCACGAGACAAAGTAAGTCGAATGAAAACATTTCGTTCACGCCTTTGTGGCTCTCTCTTGGTCAGTTTCATTGACCTTGAAAGCAGTCAGTGAAGTAGCATTTCGCGCGCTGTTCTGCGCTTTCATAGACTGACAGTGACTCCAGAGTATCTCTCTTTCTCGCACATTCAGTAGATCGCGCCGCAGAATAGTTTAAACTTTCCCGGCTTTCCCTGGCATTTTGAGAGGAGCACCAAAATTCTAAATAGTAATATGAAGCACCAACAGAATGCTGCAGACTTCCGTGAAACACTGGCAAGTCGGCGACGGGGAACACGACAAAACTATGACATATGAAGAGCATTGCCAGCAGTTGCCATATCAACAGCATCCGTTGGCGACAATGCCAATGTATTCTCATTGTTGGTTGTGTGCACTAAATACCGGGTGAGATAAAATAAACGCGCACTCTTTGAAATTGTGTTGCACCTCAAAAACAGCAGCTAGAACTACGAAATTCCTTTCGTACACACCTCTACGCATCCTTTGAGCATTCGAAAAATCTTGTCTTGTTATCTCCAGCCGTTTTGGCACAATAATGAATTTACAAAAGCAACTGGAGTTTTATTTTTGCACTCGCACCTGGACGCTGAAAGGTGGACCTGTCCCCAGTGCCGTAACAAGGGGTGTGCGAGCGGTGCCCCCGCACAGGGCGCCGATTGGCTGCCGGATTATTGCAAATAAAAAAATTGCAAATTATCCTGAATTTAACTAAGTTAAACATAGAAATTAATACGTAATGTATTGTTGGTGCTGTGGAAGCTAGAAAGGTACAGAGGGGGGGAGCGCTGGATTGATATTTCGCACAGAGCGCCAAGTATCCTCTGTACGGCGCTGCCTGTCCCACCCACTCGGAATGACATTTATCTCGGGATTTTTTTCTCTGCACTTCAGAACTCGCTAAGCAGATCTCTGACTCGTCCTAACGTCTGGCAATTTGTATATAATAATTTTGCATCCCAGGATTATCGTCTTGAGAAACAATGACTTCCACATTAACGCAGTTTCCTTCAGTTCCGGCTGATTTTAGTCTTCCGCTGCTTCGCTTCCTCTCAGATAAAACCGGTTCCCCGCAGCTTGTGAATCGATCTCTTAATAGGTCTACGTTTCTTTCATCCTTTACTTTAAAGTTCTTGCAAAATTCTGCCCACCCCATCCTCTCGCAAAGAGCAGCATTTTCATGGGGAGATGGAGGAGCTCTAGCCCGAGATTTGTGCGCTCCACGCCTACCAACTACTCTTCCTCTGATACGTTTCTTCGAGCAAGATTAAAACTCGAGTCGCCTTCACGTTTTCGCTTCTGTGCTAAAACGGCTGGAGAAAAACGAACAATGATTTTAGGACGTTTCAGCGATACTTAGAAGTCGTTGGAAAAAAATTTGCCGTGCTATCTTCTATCTCAGGAACTCCAATGAATCTCAAAGAGCGATGAGTTTTTTTTTGTTGTCTCACCCGATATTTAACGCAGTTAAAAGCTAGGCATATCAGTAGCCGAAGTTCAATTAGAATTGAGTGTAGGATGGGTTGGTACCTCCTACCACGCTATATCATTCGTTTACTCAAGTACTAAAGGACAGATTTCAACCTTTGCCAATGTAGCTCATCAGCACAGTTTAGGGGATTATCAGCATAAATATGGTTGATTGTCAAGGGTTGTTCGTGACCCACTTTCCGAGTTGTGGAACCATTAACACTTTTGCTCCAGTGGTTTGGTGACACGTTATTTTGAGGTCTGCAAAAAAATACATAGCTTGGGAACACAAAATGATAGAGACTTGCTCCTTATTGGAAATTGAAGTATAAGTTCTCTATTTTATTGTGTTTATTTCAGTATGATAATTATTTAAAAGGACATACTATTACATCCACCATTTTCTGATGGTAGTTAGGACTGGACTTACAGTTACGTCCATTGGATCAAAAGTGTTAACGCACAAGAGTTGTTAGGACACACTGTATCACCCCTTGCCCCCCTCAATTCTTATTTAACCCTTTCTGATCCTAGGTTGCATATATTTAAGAAATCGAAGTTTCCTCTTTCAGAATGTCCCAATGTCCCGAAGTTTCAAGAAATTTTGAGAAATAATGAATGGCAAATCACCAATCAGTGGTAAAATCACCCTTTTAGAATTTTAGTCTCACTGCTTTTGGGAATGGTATTGGATATGAAATTAGGTGTTTTAAATTCACCACAGTAAGGACTAACTTAAGTTTCTGATGGCCGGAGGTGTAAGATGACATAAGAGGGAGTCAGGCCAAATCACATGTTACAGTCCCTATCAATGGGAGTAAGTGAAGTAGTGATTTCATATAGAAATTTGCATTTAGGTGTCCCTTGTTTTTGTTCAAAACATGACAAAATATCTGACTTTGCCTTCATGTTCTCGTAACTGTTGGTGCTTTCATTAGTTTAGAACTTAATTCATATCAGATTGACAAGAAAGATTTGTATTGCACACTGTCTCAAGATTTTTTGGCCATGTTTTCAGGAAAGATCACATAGATGAAGTGCTTTCAACATTTTCCTATTAATCTTTTGCATAATGGTCATGTAGAAAGTCATAATTGTCCATCCAGGAGTTGTGTACAGATCATCTAGAACTACATTTTTGTGCATCATCTCACTAATGTGCATGCTACTGCTCTCTGGTGTATTTTATGCATTTATTTTTGTAAATTGTCATGAAATATCTGAGACGGACAATCACAGCTCTCTACATGACCCATACACAAAGTGTTACCACTTTCAGTCCCATGTCTGTCATATAATGGGTATCGGCCATATTCAAATCCCCTAGCACTGAAAGTGTTGAACATCATCATAATTCATGATGGAATTTCTTAGCATGTTTTGCCCACCAACATAGATTCTTTTTTCATCTTGGCAAAGCAGACATGGATTGTATTACCAATTTTATTACATTAGCCTCTGAATCATTCTAGTCAAATTTTCTAGGAAAAACTATGAAAACTCTACTAAGGTCTATATAGGGAAAGCTCTGGTATTTTGACTGATGGAAAATATGTTTCAAGAGAAATGCATTTGCATTTCTGAGCACTCAACCTATATCATAAAACTGAACAATGTAGGCTAAATTCTGAAAATGATGTGATGTTTTCTGTTGTAGTGATAGAACAGATATTAGTTTAGGAATGTTACAAATTTCCAGGTAGATTCTCCTAGCACTAAGAAGTTGGAGTATTAAGAAAGCAATTATATATTCCTTTATTAGTCTGGATGTTTTGAAATGTCCAGGAATGTCATTTCTGTCAAAAGACTCATGAAACATTGTGCAGTCTGTTCCTCAGCAAGCAAAGAATAAATCACCAGCATCCCCTTACCCTCATTTTTCATGGTGCACTTCAGCTTTTTTGCTCAATTTACTGAAATCTGATTTAATAAACCTGAATTGTGTGTTGGCGAAAGAGAGAAGAGCTGTGAGTGAGTATGTGTTTGGATTGATGTTTAGCCTGAGGGATTTGGTGAAGTATCATGTGAAATGGCCAAAAGTGGATGCAGCTGAGATCACAGCTGGAACTGAGCAGGAGGGTAAGGAGGATGATGACAATGAGGGGAAGAAGGAGAAGGTTGGCTTCCGAAAGAGGAAGGTGAGATGACAGTATTCTGTTTTTTACTCCCCTTCACTCAGGATCCTCATGTGCAAATTTGGAGAATTTCATGAACTGGAAATTTATCTCAAATATTCTTGAGATAGACAACACAAGGACATCACTTGAAATTTTTTTTTCTATCCACATGAAATCTTTACATTTATGTCTGTTTGCTAGTTTATTTTTCATGGGTCTGCTCCTTGTCCACTGATGAGATATGAGTGAAATGGGTATCATTGGAAGCTCGAACCATTGGAAAGTTCCATGTCATCTATGTTGTGCTATTGCTAAATCTGATGGAGCTACAAGTGATTTATGGTTGCTAAGGTTTCATCAGGTCTGTGGCTTAGTTGGTAGTGTGCTTGGATCCTGTGTTGGGAGACCCAGATTTGAAATCGAGTCAGACAATATTTTTTCCAAGCCTGTACCTGGTGTGTTCAGAACTCCATTGATGAAGGCCAGACCCAAGTTATGGATCTCCAGAGTACCCACAAGAGCTAAATCGAGTCTCCTGATGTTAGAGGTTACTTGAATGAAAGTTAAAGCTTGGTGGGATTAAGATGGGAGAGACAGTTAACTGGAATTAAAAAGCAAAGGCACATTCATGGACCTTGAGCCATTTGTGCCTGACAATTATCCTTAATGCATAATATCATATTGCATGCAATTGAATGATAGTGAGGATGCATGCAGGCAATGATAGGGATTGAGTGGATCATGAGTTCGCTTGCTTACTTGCAAAAATAACTACTAGTGTAACTTTTAGTGATTGTGCATACAATATGATGAACGGACTTATGTCAGGAGTCAGGAGAGTTAGTGATATCAAGAGGCATTTCGCCCATTTCGATATCACGTGTCGAGGTCGAGCGTTCCTTAATTTTAGGGTAGGCCTAACCCTCTTAAGGCTAAATATTTTTGT